ATGTTTTCATTTTTGTTTAAAAAGATCAAAAACCAGAAACATGGACCACCAGATCATTGGCAGCCAGTTGCCATAAGGCCAGATTAAAAACCATATTGTTGATGAAAATATAACAGAACCTCTTTATTTCTGTATAAATACCTCACATGGTCTCTGGACATGGCAAATTCATTATTCGGTGATCTAGACACTAAAAAACCGAGATGCGGCAATAAGGTTGTCTTGCACTAGCTTACAGTAAAAAAAGACAGCTAATGTTTAATGAGAGCACAGTTCAAAAGATGAAGAAGCTAAACCAGCGGAGACAGCCATTTTGGAAGCTGGCTATAAAGTTGTGAGAATGCAGCCTATTAATTATATTAGGTGCAGCTGCAAGAACATACCTCCTAACCTTCTCAGAAGGGTTAGAGGTACATAACTTTTAGTTCAAATTACATGTAGGCAAAGCACACTCCACTACTACAACCCTAGTTAATGAGAATTCATATGCAGAAAAAGATTGTTTTAAAGCCCAAATCCATGTTTACTAAGCCCCTCACCCTCCCATCTCCTTTAGGGATTTTCCACACATGTTTTTTTAAATCTCATTTTATGCATACCTTAAATCCTGCAGTCTTTTGGTGATGTTGCGGGTTCCTCTAATGGTGGTTGGGTGGTCTTTACTCCTGGACAGTGTGGCTCTCGTATAATGATGTGAGAACTGTGCTGTCCTGAAGTGCTTTGAACCCAGGCCAGGGTAATGTCCATGACGGGTTTGGTCCACAGGATGGGTTGAATCATGCTGGGTGTTAATACATCATGAAATGTAGTTTTTAAAGAAAGGAGAGTAAGTACCTGAAATAGACTTGGTTTCAGTTTCTTGCACTTCCCTGTACACAGAGAGAAGACGCAGCACAAGGAACTGGTCAGCTGTGCTTCAGTATTAATTATTATCATTATACCGGATTTATGTATCACCAACAGTTAGCACGGCACTTTCTCAACGTGCTAACAAGGAACATGCTGCTAGGTGGAAAGAGCAGAGTGAAAAAGATGAGCTCATCAGTCTGCTGCTTCTCTTTTAGTGGCCAGTCACAGGCTGGGGTAAGGACAAGACCTTACAGTGTTACTTATCTGCTGCAGAGAAAAATCAGGTCTGTGCTGTGTGGAAGAGCTGTGTAAATCACAAGAAATACAAATTAAAACAGCTTCCATGTATGTATTTATCTCCATTTAGCTGTTTGCCTGGGGTTCAGCTCCAAACCCACTGATTATTTATTTCACCTATACTGATGTTTATATGAGATCCAATAGAGCAACCATTCTCAATGAAGGTTCCATGGAACTCTAGGCTTCCTCCAGAGGTTGCTAGGGATTCCTTGAGCAGAGGTCCATCTGATGGTGCCGGCATAGTTCCTGAGTCAGTGCCACTTAGCAGAGCCAAAAGCATGAGCTTTTTAACTGCCTGTACGGGTGGCATTCTGACCATTACTGTATGGGGCATTTTCCCCACTGACTTCCAATAAATTGTCCTTTTTTAAGGGTTTCCAGAGGCCTTAAAAATATTTCAAAAGTTCCTCTGGGGTAAAAACGTGAGAAAAGCTGTATTAGAGGGACATTAGAGAAGAAAGGGATGCAGGGATTTGGTACCAAAGCAGGGACATTTGGAAGCCATAGGACAATCCTTTTCAGTTGAAATTGTAACCACAGGGAATAAAGAAGGGTTCAATTGTCCAATGGGCTATGAGATATTGGGCCTGAGTGTAAGTGGGATGGCCATTTATTACCCGGTTGTTAATTAGTATCCTAATATTAATATTAATATGTTGGGGCTTGTCAGGTGATATGGGATAAAACTTAATGAAGTGAACCTGGGTCTGATTTACCACAGTGTGGAGGACAAGTGTACCTGTTTGCACTCAAACATCTAATTGTGTGCAGAGGAATATAAAAATTGAGCTTCTTTTTCACAAGATGTTTGAAGTGCGCATAGGTTTAGTCCACCTCACACCAAATTTAACCATTCTTGTTCTGTGTATAATAAATCAGCCTATCACTATCTCACAATAGCTGCCAATAAGGACACTTAATGTTCAAGCTCATTGGGCATGTTACACTTTTTGCTGAGTTTTCAATAAAGGAAAAATACATGGACAATAAATCACATCATTTAATGTAGGCCAACACATTTAATGGGCTTGTAAATGCCCCCTTCATCAGGACTAAAACAACAATCCATATTACCAGTAAATGAAACAATCATTTTTTAGCCCTTATTGTTGTTCTAGCCCTGATGAAAGGGGCATTTGCCTGGAGCTTGCATGTTTTCCAAGTGCCTGTGTGGGTTTCCTCCAGGTACTCTGGTTTCCTCCCACACTCCAAAGACATGCTGGGAGGTTAATTGGCTCCTGTCTAAATTGGCCCTAGTATGTATATGTATGAATGTAAGTTAGGGACCTTAGACTGTACACCCCTTGAGGGTTAGGGACTGATGTGAATGTACAATATATGTATGTAAAGCGCTGCGTAAATTGACAGCGCCATATAAGTACCTGAAATAAATTTGAAGGCTCTTGAAGCACCTTGACAGTCATATAGGGAAATAAATGTCTTGTTTTGTACTTAGAACAAACACTCTGACCTACAGCTCTGTGGCCTTTTTTCTTGCTTTCGGTGCTGTTTTGCTTCCTTTCATAGACATTCACTAATAAAAAGGAACCTAACATAGCACATGCCATCTTCAGGTCCACAATTATTGTAAATACAGGCCTTGGTAAGAATGCCCTGTGTTAAGTTCTAGGTCTTTGGAAGGGTCATGTAGGTTATGGCTTTGGTAATCAGATGAAGACTCTCCCCTATAGTATTACATTTTGCCCCTGACTCTTTCACAACTAAAGGTCAGTGATGCCTAGCGGCCCTGGCCAAATTCTGCAGTGTCAGCATGCCTTGGTTAAGTTGAAAATAACTTTATGACACACTTATATACCTCAATAAATTTTATATATATTTTGAAGGCAATATGTAGCCTCTATCTGGTACACTGTTTTATTAAACAGGAAATCGTGCATCCTTCTTATCAGTGCTGCACAGTATTGGGCCTTTCTGATCCCCTGCAAGTCTATTTCTCTTACCTATGCAAGTCTATCAGAATAGGTCTGTCGGGCTGAACACAATAGACCATTTGACATGAAACATCTAACCAGAGTAACCAGAGACAATTTGATATCTACCTTGACTTTATTTGAATTGTGTGAGCTCTGGAACAGCAGTTTTTCTACTCATGTACAAAAGAAATTTATCTATTTAGTATATTAATTTAATTGTTATTTGGTAATGTTGATATGTGGCTTCCAGATTCATGTTTAATGTCAGTTTTAAGAAAAGGCCAGCTTTAACATATCATAGTGTACAGATGCCAGCAGTGGCACTCATAGCTGTCAAAGGCCCCCTGTGAATAAAGAATTTTTTTTGGGACTCCCATTCAATTATTGCTCAAGTGCAAACACTTATTTATTCTGTTTAGATAGATACACACATGCAGGCAAAGTGCATCCTTTTTGATTCCCCGAACTCTCATGATCTAACATGCAGCTGGGATCAGACAGAACACCACTCAGAACCCAGCACCCACCTGGCCCACATGTGTTATAAATGGACCCCTATCTCCTAGGGTTTCCTCACGCAGATGCAGTTTGCACCAATGGTATGTCCTCCTTAGGTAACAGTAATATACCTGGGCCTGTCCACAGCCACAAATATCAAAATCCCTAATTCCAAGGGCCTATTTAATATCTGAATCCTAGCCCTCAAAAATAGGCCGCACACTCTGCCAAGAACATTGTGCTGCCAAACAAGCTGTCTGTGCTTGTAATTCACGCTGGAAAAAATATAATTGTAGGTCCAGTCCACTTCTGGTTTGTTCACATTGTTGCCAGTCAAGCCCTGATGAAGGGGGTGCTTGGACCCTTGAAACACGTTGACTACGTTTTTGGATTGCACCCCTTACTTTCAATGGAATAAAGTTGTATCTGAACTTCGTAGCAGTGGTGTGGTGTTTCAATTTCAATTCTTGTTACAAGAACATTGGCTTGTCTTCTTCCTCCTCTGCTTAGCACTTTTTTGTGCTTTAGTTTAACACATAAATATTTTTTGTGCTCTTAACGTATACATATATTAATATATATATATTTATATTCCCTGGAGATTAGCTACAGTATACCATAGACTGTAAACATATACCACAGTAACTTGGTCCTCGATTCACACATACAGTGGAAATCACAACTCATCAGATATACATTGGGCGATGCTGATGTCTGCTTCTGAAAGATTGGTAAAAGTACAAAGACTTCACAAGTGTTCCTAACCTACCAGAAAAAGATCCATATTGACATGGGTGTTATTGGGTTCACATGCACAAATTTCAATGCGGTGGACTAAAATTTGAGTCTGGAAAGGCTCTTAATGTCCCAAGGTAAGTAGTTCCATATACACAGGTCCCCAATTATGCTGGATGAAAAACATTGTGAGTTTCGCATATAGAAATACCCAAAACTACAACGAATAGTTCAACTCTGCACAATGATACGGCATATATGGTTACAGTACAGCATCTGTTTCATGTAACTGTTAAAAAGTTATAGTATGGAGCAATAGTAACAGTGTCCAATCATACTGTACAGGATCATGCAAAAAAAAAAATGCAGGCAAAAGAGGAGTAACATCAAACACGCAACTTCTGAGAATAATGTAGCATGCAGGAGTCCAGGGAAACGGTACTAATAATAGCACGAATAAAATTAGCATTTTTTGTCACATATTAGGGTGTCTAGGTAAAACACAATGAACTGGTATTTTCTACATTAATGATCTTCACCGTTTCCTATACGTACTAGAATACCATGATCCACCATCTGTACTGTGGCAGGTTCAAGAAACCGCACTGAATTTGAAAAACACTGTATCATTCCTCCCGGAATTAGACCTTGTCAAGGTGTCTGTGGTCAGCATAGAGGAACACATTAAATCTGGTTGGCAAAAGATGTTGGGCCGGTTTGGTTATACCGTGACTGGTTATAGTTTTGTTGTCCAAGTCCACCGGGCTGTCCAAAGTTTGGCTGCTGGCCAAAGCCTCCTTGTGGTTGATTGAATGGTGGAGTTGGTCCATAGGGGTCTTGATTGTATCCACCCTGGTTTAAAGATTGGCTACCAGACTGTTTCTCAACTGGTTCTTGGGGATATCTATTCCCAGAAGCATGCCAGCCTGTCTCCTTGAAGACAAACCATATGTTTCCAGCCCACAGAATAAAATTCAGGAATCCAAACACCTGAAAGTAAAAAAATGAAACTGTATAAGGCAATGTATACACATGTAAGGGAAGACAATGTATACACATATAAGGGTGATTTAAACTAGAAATTCAGAACCATGATTAATATTTCAAAGCATCTCATACTTTTTGAAAACATTGCCTGTATTTTTTTACTATTGTAAAGAAATAAAAGATACAATGAGGTTTGTTGAAAATCTTCCTAATGACAAGCTGATGTCCCCTAGTGAATTTTTTGCAAGTTTTGTGGAATGTATATTGGTTGTTATGCCAGGGGATGCCCGGGCAATTCATTTAGTCAGCTAAAAGTGCCTCCAAATATAAAAATAATTTAACTGACCTAATTAATTATTTTTAAAAACATAAACAAGATCTGTATCAGTATGGACTGGGCTATCGGAAATAAATTAATATTTACTATAATATGTCACATACAAGCACACATAGAAATAAAGTTTTTCCTGTCCACAATCCCATGTTTGTGATTTATGAAGTTCTCATAAACCTAGACCAGGGGTTTTATTTAACTTTTTATCCTTACACTCTATGTATCTTGCCATAGGATATTGGCCTGTGTTTACTAGGTTTCAAGTTTGTCAAACAGATACCATTTGGAAAACAATAAGAAAAGATTCTTTTACACTTCAGGTATGTAGATAACAGCAACACCATTGTCCATAGGATTTGTTCTGCAAGCAAGCTTGTTTACAGACCCTCAGCAGTTTCAGTTGAGAAAAAAAGAGAGTCTCTGATGGGAAAGTTAACCTAAAATGAAGGCATTTCTCTGATATGTTTGAAATCTATCTCATACAGTCCAAAAATAAAAAAATGATAACATTTCTGACAGGGTATTGTTATATCTTATGAATCACAGTAATACTAGATTCACTCTGCAGCTCTATACATGTGAACAATTATATAATCCATGAATACAACTTCAATAAATCTAATATCTAAAAAAATACTCAGTGCAAAAATAATGCAATTCATACATAAATCCAATTAAAGTGCTCTGTGCAAGTGTAAAGTACTCCAATTCATAACTAAAAAATAAGTCTAAGAAAGTCCAATTCACAAAGTGCTCCATGCGCTTTGCATTTTTTTTCTTCTTTATCCAAATATGTGATCACTCCACCATGAATTACTCCCAATTGAAATTTGGGAATGTATTTATACTGGCATTGTATATTATTTTCTATTTACTGTCAGGAGTACAAAAAAGAACATTTTTAGAAAGATGTTTTCTTTTATTTTTAGCCCAGTAATTATGATATATTACATATTAATATTTAGCATTCTGCTTTTTTCACTAGCAGGTAGAGCTAGGTAGCCTGCGTAACACATTTTCCAGTCTCTCTTTTGCTTCTTTGATGTGAAGCATGTTGCTTAAGCTGGTCACATCCTCAGGTAGAAGACTCACTGAAAAGTATATTAAATGGGTCAGTCTGCAACTTAACTTACACAGCCAAAGTCTCAAATCAGGTAGCTTCTGCTATACTGCCACCTTATCTAACCCACAGTACCCTTGCAACCTATTTTTTTTATGTATGAAAGGGCACATGACAGATTCCTTTTAAAGTAAACCTCTATTGGACAGCAAAAGTAGTGACTGATAGACTGTATGGGCAGGTGTTTGTGGACACCTGTCCATCGTAACTTACATGAGCTTTTTAAACATCTCATTCCAAAACCATGGCCTATGTGGTTATAACAGCACCCACTTTTCTGGGGTGGTTTTCAGCAACATTTTTTTCCAATTCATTCCATAGGTGTTCCTCCTCCTCCTCACCAAACTGTGTCCTTATGGGGCTGATTTCGTACACCGCGGCACAGTCATGCTGAAACAGAAAAGGGCCTTCCCCAAACTGTTGTCACAAAGTCAAAATCATACAATTGTATGTTGTAGCATTACCTCTACCATTCACTGGAAACCCCGGAACTCAATAAATTAGAGGAATGTCTACATACTTTTGGTCATATAGTATGTGTGATGATCAAGTTTCCACAAACCTTTGGCCATAGAGTAGAAACCATAATGTGCTATACCTTACATCTGAAACACAATAGGGGGAGATTTACTAAAACTGGAAAGTGCAAAATTTGGTGCAGCTGTGCATGGTAGCCAATCAGCTTCTAAATTCAGCTTGTTGAATTAAGCTTTCACAAAAAAAAAAACTGGGGGCTGATTGGTTTCAGTGCAGAGCTGCACCAGATTTTACACTCTCCAGTTTTAGTAAATCAACCCTAATGTCTCTAGCACACGACCCTAAATTCGACTGATGTTTTATATGTAGGACCTTGCTTGCAGAAAGATCCTGAGTAAAAAACACAAGTTATGTTCAGTGAAGACCTTACACCTGATATGTACAGGCATGTAAGCGTGCATATGGACATACGTAAAATATCTATTCATCCTCTTCTAGCTGCCAGCATTACAATTTATGTGTATCTGCCTGTATATACTTGTGTATACATGCATATGTGTGTAAATTATTTCACTCAAATGTAAAAACATATATTTTTTTACAGATCTGAATGCATCGGTGCATTATAGATTTTTACGCAGCTGTGTGCATTGTCATATATACAACAATGCAGCTGTGTCAGATCCGTATATAATAAAAAACTACTAAGTGCCCCATTTTTTCATGCCATGTGCAGGGGGCCTAATCCTGCAGTTTATATTAAGGCTTCGTTCACACATTGGCAAACTGTTGCAGCAGGGTCCCAGCAACTTCAATTGACACGCTTGGAAAGCAACACCAGCTGCCAGATGCACCGTGTTGTATAAAATTTACTGCACTGCAATGCAGCTGTGACAATGTGTGTAAACCTGAGCATGCTCAGACCATGCAAGATTGTAGGTAGGTGGTCAGAAAAAGAGGATAAACCACCTGTTATTACTGCCCGTTTGCTGCCCATGTCAGCAAGGCCCTAAAGAATATGTCAACCCAACATTTCAAGTTCCTGATATGTGCCCAGTGGTGTATTTAGCTCTTGTATTGCCCTAGGCAACACTAAAATTGGGCACCCCCTACCACCACCAGCACCTCTGGCTCCCACCACTACTAAAATTGGGCTCCACCATCACCATCAGCACAACCCCCACCCCATCCCTTGGTCCCCGCCACTAAAATTGGGCACCCCCCACCATCACCAGCACCCTCAACCCCCCCCCCTTCCCTGAACTTGCCACCACCACTCTCTGCCAAACAAACCCTCTCCCCTGGCCCCCGCCCGCAGAGAGAGTTAGTCAAGCACTAACCATAACCTCTCTGGAGCTAAGCCCAGTGTCTTCCTTCCTTGTGCGGGAAGCTTACACCCTCCAGTAGCGAGCAGCCTCCTCGGATTCTATGGAAAAGCCTCACAGCCTCACCAGGTCCCCGGGCCATCAGGCGGACCCGCCCCCCCGTTGCTGAAAATTGCCACCCTGGGCAAACGCCTTGTTAGCCTTATAGTAAATAAGCCGTTGTATGTGCCTGCTGTACCATGTACTTGTAGGAAAAGGTATCCCGTTCTCTTTGTATTGTTTCCTTTGTGTGAAATATCTGGTGTTCCTATCAGTCCTTCAGCTTTCCTATTAAAAACTGACCACAGTAGACATTAGAGCATACCATAGTTAGTTTGCTGGCAGTGCTGTGAACTTAGCCTGCTCTCCTCCAATGATTAGATTTCTGCTGACACGCCCCTTTCCTGCACAGCCATTCACTGGGAAGACAAGTATACTGCTGTTTCTCCTCCCCCACCTCTCTATGCAGCTGAGAACAGAGTGTATGTAATCACTTATAAAAAAGGGGAAAAAAGGTATGTATATTTTTTTTTTATTTCTATACACAAATGTTTTGCCTTTCATTTCTATTTACAAAGTGAGGGTTCACATATACCTTAAAGGTAACCTCTGCTCATCAAATGTTGGGCTTGGTTTGTGGCAGAGATTCTTTAAATTGGACTGGAATCCTTTCTTTTACAACTAACAGTATTTCCAGCTTTAATTAGAAGAATGCATCAGCTCACTAATGGGAATTATTCTGACTGCTGTTGACGGAGTTAAGGAACATTTTTCCCTCTGGGAGGATAAACTGTCAGCAGTAATGTAGTTTTTTTTATTTTGCTTTTCTTCTGGATCAACAATATCCAACTAAGAATTGTAACAACTTAAGGAACCTTCAATTTCTGTCAACTATTTTATCATATTATAAATTAATATAGTACAATATATATGTACAACATTATATTACATTATAAAGAACCAGCTGACCTTTTTCTGTCCGTTCTAAATCATTGAACAGCTTTATAAAAATGGTACATTTGGTGACTTTTTTTTTGTATGGCTCTTTGAGAAAAAAAAATGGAATCTGATTGGTTGACAATAAAGGCAATTCATTCTTCCACTAATGATTTTAAGCTCAGAGGAGATGTTCCTAATGACCCTTCAATAAATAATAATAATAATCTTACACAGAGAATGCCTGGGATCGGCACTCCTATGGAGAGAGAATGTTTTATCTCCGCCAGAGAACACCCCAATAAAATAAAGCGTTTAACGGCTTTGTGCCGTCCTGCGGAGATGGTGTATAGTGTCACCTTTCAAGTTCAAATTGAATTTGGTGATGAATGAAGATGTGAGTGACTCCCTCATCTATTATTCATCTCCCTGGTACATCTGTCACATGCCTGGCATTTATATTCAAATTATTGAGTGTCACAGGAAAATGTAATCTTAAATGCTTTTTAGATTAAATTTCTAGACTGTATGTGTTCTAGGGGGGATTATAATTAGTTAACCTTGACACCACCTGATTTATTGTGCCTAACCCAATTCAGCATCTCCAGAAGTGTAAAATGTTCCTATATCTGGGTAAAATATTAGCACCTTGTTTAAAGGTGCTGAAATATTTGTGTAGTAACCAGGGGTGGACTGACCATTTGGAAACTCGGACACTGCCCGAGGGCCCGGGGTCAGTAGGGGGCCCCATGAGATGCCCCTGGTACCTTTT